CCACCCAGGAAGAGATGGAAGGAAAAGTAATCAAGTGATAGTTCACTTGGGCTCCCAAAGATTCATGCTAATCCATGAAGTTATTTGTAGTCTCACAGAAGAGGCTGAGATTTATAAAATTTATTCTAGAAGTTTCCTTTACTGAGGTTTTCATGGTGGTCCCTCATCCTCCACATTGTTATACTGTTCGATCTCTGGAATCTCCATAGCAGGGAAATCTATAAGTTCAAAATGCAGAGCCACCCCCACCTCCTGATCTGGCAAAAAAGAGATGATTTGCTAGTTTGTTATGAGAAGCTCATTTTGGCTACTACAGGGGACTAAGGATTTCCAGTAGGCAAGTGACCACGTTGCAAGAAAAAAGGTGCAGGTTGTGGCTTGTTTATCAAGCTGGGGTAAGAAACCTCTTTTCCCCAGAAAGGTAAACATGTAGTAGACTACCTTCAAAAACATGGAGAATTTCATTCCTCCTTCAGTAGCCCAAGAATCTCATGCAGAAGATACAGGAGGTAGTGCAAAATACCTGGAAAAGAAACAAAAATGGTGGCAGTGGAACAGAAGAACGTTTTTCCTGTCTGCCACAGGACTTCTGCATTTCCATGACAAATGGGAGCTGATGAATCTCTTTGCATATCTAATACAGACATTCGGGCTGGTGATGAATAGATGGACTGATCCATGCTTCCATCTCCTGTTTATTTCTTTGCTGCACATGCAGGCACAAGATAACTTTACCTTCTATACGTTCAGCAAAGAAACACAATAAGCCAGCAGTGGATGGATCGAGATCATCCCTCTACCAAGCCAGATGCCTGGTTTCTACACTCAGCACGCAGGACGTCTGGCAAGGTCTAAGACAGACACATGGCGGGTTGGTGATGTAGGGACAGCGTGATCCAGGCAAAGCAGCTTGAGACCCCGATTTAGCTGTGCCGCGTTCTCAAAGTACACCCTGAGCATTCAGCATCCTGAAGTCTGTTGACTGTTCTTGCTCATCAGAGTCTTTTGAATCTGGGGCAATATCATATGTAAGACAGCATGTGACGTGCAGCCTTATTCTAAAAATGGTAGAATGGTTTGGAAGGGGCATTAGAGATCATTGAGTCAGCCTCGTGACTGGACAAAACTACAGCACATCTGACAGATGGCCCCTCAGCCTCCGCTTAAATATCTCCAGAGACGGAAAGAGGGTGGCTTCAGTGGGTCTTAATTCCAAGTGAAATATGCTAAGCTCCAGCCTGAGCCGTTTGAATGCTGCTATTTAGTAGTAATAGGGCTACAACCTGACCTAACACAGGGAAACCCCAGTTCTAATCCACACTCAGCCCTGAAGTTCACTTAGTTATCTTGATTAGTCACCAGCTTAACTGATGTGTGGAGAAACTGGAGGAGAGCCAGAAAAACAGCACAATTTCAAGCGGAGAATATAAGTATAGGAAACCAGAAATCAGTGCCTGAGGGTGAGTGTGTGGTGCTTAGGACTTGGGTAGGAAAGCTGTGCGTTTGTACACCTGCCACCACATCTCTTGCCACACCAGAGTCCTGTGGCGGCTGGCTGGTCACGGGTGCCGGCCACCACCGGGATCAACTCACCTGGCCCCTGGTGGGAAGCGGCTGGACGCTGAAGAAGAGGCTGAGCGGGAGGGTGGCCAGGGCCGAGAAGGCCCAAATGAGCAGCAGGCAGGCGGCCACCAGCCGGCCCTTCCAGGGCTTGGAGGGCTTGAACCGGACGATGCTGACCACGCGCTCCAGGCTGACGGCGGCCAGCGAGAGGATGGTGACGCTGCCGCTCAGGCTCATCAGGTAGAAGAGCAGGTGGCAGACCGCCTCGCCCAGGGTCCAGCTCTCGGTCCAGCGCACCACCGCGATGACGGGGATGGCGCTGATGAAGAGCAGGTCGGCGCAGAAGAGGTTGAGCACCAGGCAGCTGGCGGCGCCCGGCCGGCCCTTGCGGCGCACCACCAGGCGGATGGCGCCCGCGTTGGCCGCCAAGGCGAGGGCGAAAATCGACGCCAGCACGGCCGTCTCCAGGACGCTCAGCCCCACGCGAACGGCGGCGCCCTTGAAGTCCGAAAAGAAGGGGAAGAGCGTGCCGTTCCCGCCAGCCCCAGCTCCGGGCATGGGGATGCGGGCGCCCGGGGCATCAGGCGGGCGAGCCGGGCGACGGAGCAGCAGCAGCCGCCGCCGCAGCTCTCTTTCCAGCCCTGTCCGCTCCGCACCCCAGGCCGGACACAGGCCCGCTTCGCCGCCTCCTTCCTCAACGGCGACTGTCGGCTGGACTGAGCACCTGGCTAGCTCGCTGCGGCTTGTGCAACAAGGAAGTGGCGGGAGGCGGAGGAGAGCAAGCCGCGCTGTCCCGCCACAGGGAGGGGAAGCGAGGACCTTGCGAGGCGTAAGTGGCGCAGAGGAGCAAGCATCGCTGCCTTCCGTCTGCCGTCCACAAGCTCTAGCAGCCCCTCAAAGCAGATCCTCCTCCTCCCGCCCCTCCAGTGGGGCTAATGGACAGGCGAGGGCCGTCGAAAAGGAGCGGAGGCGAAACTGCGTCTGCGTGGCGTTAGCCAAAATGGAAAAGCCCAGCGGAGTTACTGAGTCCCGCCGAAACTGAAAAGGGACGTAAGGGAACCTGACTGAGGAACTAGCGAAGCGTTGGCTCTCTCACTTAGGGAGGAAAAGGAAAGAGGGAGTCATTTTTTAAGGGTTGACAGGAAAATGAGAGGACCTGCCATGGGGCCCAACGGGAATTCAGTGCAATCGAGTGACAGGGCCCGGAGGAAACTTTAGAAGAGGGGAATGGAGAAGGGAATACCCTAAGCCCCATTTAGAAGGGAGCATCATTTAGTTCAGTGGGACTTAGTCCTGGGTAAGAATGTAGAACAGTGTTTCTCAATCTTGGTGACTTGAAGATGTGTGGACTTCAACTCCCAGAATTCCCCAGCCAGTTGGCTGGGGAACTCTGGGAGTTGACGTCCACACATCTTCAAGTTGCCAAAGTTGAGGAACCCTGATGTAGAAGATTAGGGTCCTAAGATGTGGCTTGGTTGTTTTTGCTGCAGGAGAGGAAGGCGCAACTTTTCTGAATGCAG